ATAAATGAATATATGTTAAGTAATTCACCTTTAAATACTCTTCAAATATTATATAAACAAATTCAAGAAAATTTTGAAATATTTCTTAATTATATACATTGCATGCCAATACATAAAAGTACAATTTATCTTGGAAATTTAGTTTCAAATACACTTGAAAGATTTTATTTAATACTTGGTAGTCTCGCTCGACTTATTATGGATATCGAAGAATTTGAAATTAAATAAAATAGTTCAACATAAAACAAAAAGAACAAACAAAAGAAAAAAAAAATTTAATCTTCAATATCATTCGTTTGATCAATAAGAATATCATTCATTGAATCTCCAGCTACTGTTCGAGATAATTCTTGTGCAAGTTTATCAAATTCACGTTCATAATTATCTGCAAATTCAATGCCTTTTCGAATCTTTAAAAGCAAAACTATTATATTTAAAACATTACAAACAAAAAAATATACTTTTGCTTTCTTTCGAAGATTCGGTGAAAGTTTAAGACAAATAGTCCAACCACTAATAAAAATAAAGCAAAGAAAAATAGACGATGGGCAAAAAGTTTTGAGACAAAATATTTGTTTATTTTTGGGTCTCTTAAAAGTGTTGCCGAAAAGTCAAAGTTTGAGAGTAGTGAAGGAATTTTTCAAAGTCGCAAAAGATTAGATTGAATGATGAACCGATAGGTTTTTTCTAATCCCTATACGTTCTGTTCCGAATGTGCCAAAAAATATTGAAGTCGATTGTTTTATTGAGTGGATACTTCTTGAAAAAATTTTATATTGAAGTAAGCTGTGGCTTTTACCTAAGTGTGACTACAAACATTTATCAAGGGCTTCTGTCAACATAAAACAACTGTCGATGAAAATGGAGGTGACCTGTGGGAAAACAAAAAATCTCCAATGGTATATTTTGTAAGTTAGTTTGTGCTCTATATAAGTTGATATATTGATAAAGGTATCAACATTTAATTTCGAGCTGCAATAATGAAAGTACAAAAGTGTTCGGAGAAATTTTTCGTACGAATTACTTTTTAGGTCGTTCAATAGATCATCTCATTGTTTTCGAGAAAAATTTCTTTCTAACCATAACTCATAGCCTTTGACACCTCCGAAATACTTTCAAGTGAGTCAAAAATAACCAAGCATTTTGTCTCAAAACTTTCGACTCATCTGTTAATAATAATAATGATTAATAAGAATATTGCATGATTACATTATTTTTGATAGTTTTGTTCAGTTTAATGTACTTATACAAAACCTCAGAGGTTTCTTATTGGGACATTGTTGGACAGAGCATCAATTACTCTATCGAATCATATATTTTTTATTTGATTTGTTTTATGTCTTGTACAAAAAATTGGATAAATTTCGAAAAGCAGTCAAAAATTGCATTGCGATTTTAGGATCGCTTCGCGGTTCATTTTTTTGATAGCTAAAATCACTGGAATAATGGAAATTTTTATTCATATATAGAATAATCGATCGTTCATTTCTCTATCGAACTATATTCTTCATTGGGTTTATTCCAAGAGGACAGCAGCAGACTTGAAGGCTGATGTTTCTGCTGTTACCGTCTCGATTTATTCCTTAATTTTCTTCTTAATTTCAACTATGTCTTGTTTCATATTTTCTACACGTTCTAGTTTGATGAATCTCTTTCATCTAAAGTAATTTTCATGTTTAACGAATTCAATTTCAATGAAATGTGAGCACACCAAAGTTTCATTTCACCATTTCTCGGAGTTTATCGAATTTTCGGACGAGATACAAAATAAATAAAATGGATACTGTATAGTTCGATAGAACAATTCATGCTCTATCTATGTCAAAATAAGAAATATCCGAAGTTTTCCATAAATACAGGAAACTGGCAAAGGAACTACTACAAGTGACACTCACCATTTGACTTCATATTGGACTCACATACAAGTCTCAATGAGAATAGCAAAAACCTACAAAAGTTCGCTCCTATTAGCTTTAAGCGTCGAGTTATGACTGGTTTAGTGGATAGTTCCTAAAAAATCAAATGACAAAATCTTAATCTAAAATTTTGTCTATAGATAGATCCAATCACATTTAGAATATTCAGAAAGTTTCACTTGAAAAGAATGTTCCTTCGTTGAATTATTAAATTTTCAAGTCAAATCGATTTTTGTGACAAAGGGATATTGTTGGAAATTCAATATCTTGACGAAGGAAGATTCTTTTCGGTTAAAACTTTTAGGATGTTCTAAGAGTCATTAGAATCTATCTGTAGGCACAATTTTAGATTGAAATTCTGTCATTTGATTTTTTAGGAACTATCTACAAAATCGGTCATAATTTGATGACAAAGACTCATAGGAATGAACTCGGTTAGGTTTTTGCTATTTTCATTGAAACCTACCTGTAAGTCTAATATGAACTCAAGCGGCGGGCGGCAGTTGGAGTAGTTCTCTTGTGAACATAAATGTCAAATATAACGTAATCAAGTGATATTTATTCTAAAACTTACGTTTGATCACCAACTAATAGAATTGGATGAATAGGATTAAAAGCAATTTTTGTACATGTTTTTCCTGATTCATTTGCTAATAGTTGTTCACAAATTGGTTCAAGTTTATTTGAATGAATATCAAATATATAAACTTTGCCATCTGCTCCAGCTATAGTAAACATAGTAGATGTATAAGGTGACCAAGCAATATCTTGTAAACTTGTACATAAATCAAATCTCATTAAACATTCACTAAAATAATACTGAAAATTTGTCTAATGGATTTATTTAAAAAAAAAACCAATACAAACGTAATTTTTTCATGCCATATTTTTACTGTACCATCAGCAGAACAGGAAGCAAAAATATTCGGATGAAAAGGACTATAGAAAATAAATCAGAGAAGATAAATAATAAATATTGAAAAAAAAAACATCAAAACCTCCATTGAATAGAATAAACAGCAAAATCATGAGCATCAAATGTCATATCAATAATTCCAGGATCACTAGTCGATGCTTTATAGATCTTACCATCTTCTGTACCAACAAGAAATATATCTTTTCGATTACGATGAAAATCAAGTGCTATTGCCGGACCTATATATTATTATTAATATCAAAAATCAAATTCTTTTTCTTAGAATACCTGGCAACGATAGAAGAGTGCCATCATCAAGTCGTGTAGGTTTTGTTGCACTTGGTAAATCAAATAAAAGTACTTGTCTTAATTCACCTTTAATACATGTCCATCGCATTACTTTTCCATCAGAACCAATCGAAAAAAATCGAGGTTGATGATTAGTAGATAAATTACACCATCGAACCTTATTAAATATAAATTAATTTCTACGAAAAACAAAATACTTTAATTTAATACTTGCCAAACACATCCATAATGTTTACACATGTAAGATGTATTTGTAAAAACAGCTTTACCAGATGGAATTGATATATCATAAACAATCACATCACCATCCATTAATCCCACACATATAAGATATCTATAATAATCGTAAAAAAAAAACAAAAAAAATCAAATAAGAAAAAATTATTTACGGTTTTGAAGATAAACAATCAATAGATAATACAGTACTTTCAGTATGAATTAAAGTATCTGGATGATTATTGTTTAATGTAAATACAGCAATTGTACCTTGTATTCGTTCAGCTCGATCATCTTAAAATGCATATAATGAAACAAGAAAAATATATATATGTTGTTTTATATAGAAAAATCTTACAAAGTCCATATCCAATTATTAACATATCTGAATAAGCTGGATTCCATGTTAATGCAGTAACAGATCGATTAGCAAATGATGGTGGAAATTTCCATAATGGAAATAATGTACCCATTGGATCACGTACTTCATCTGTTTTATCTTCAAAATACTTGAAGTCTATATAAAGAGAAAAGGGTTTGCCATGTAAATATATTCACATATCTATATATATGAGTAAATTGCAACTTATCGGTACAATTGATGTGAAAATTTGAAAGTAGATCTAAAGAATTTCTGAGTAGTATATTTTATTATGTTCTACGTCTATGTTATATAATTAGCAAAAGTTCCCAACACTTTTCTGTATATTCATCGAGATACGGCTTATTTCAGTGTATGCGTATCGTATGAAGCGTTGTCAGATTAAGAAGTATATGCTAAATTCCGGCAGAAAGACACCGGAAATCGATAGAACTTGAAAGTAATATTCTGAATCGGAAAGTGTTCGAATATTTCCGGTGATTTGAAGAGTATTTAAAGGTGAATTACTTAACATATATTCATTTAT